CAGGGAGTAAAACGGTCATCCGACGCATCGTGTCCAGTCAAAGCAAAGAAAACAAGCAGCAATAATGCTCGCGTGCTTGTGACATCGACAGAGACTCGGGCTCCACTTCCTCCATGCACTTTTTGCGGAGAAAATCACGCAGTTTACAAATGTCAACAATTTAAAGCATTAAGTGTAAATGCAATATATATTGTTTCGAGTCGATGAGGGCAATACACGCATTTTCTTGAAACTCGAGGGCACAACGATTCCCCTCCGACGAACCGAAAAGCGCGTAATCATCGTTTCGAGGAATGTTGGGGAAAAAAAAAAAACAACCTCACAGCGGGAGATCCAAAGGTGCAATCAAGCGTACATATACACAGGCCCCTTTGGCCCGGCTCCGAGGAGTCGAAATTTGCATGGTTTTCGCGTCTCTTTGCTCATATTCCGACTTTCAGCCACGTACAGGAAGAAATGCACCTTGCGGAGAAAACCGATGTGGATGAAAAAAAAAAAAAAAAAAAAACCACTCGATGCGAAAAACAAGGAGTAAGAGAAAAGAAAGAGGGACAGCCGGGATGGAAACGTCGGGACCGGCGAAATTTGGCGATTACCGCTCCTCGGGGATCCGAAGAGCATATATATATATACGACGGGCCGTGTTCTTGTCTCTCCTCTCCCGTGGCGTGTGTATTATAAGGGTGTGCTCGTATATATGTATATGTACATGGAAAAGGGAAAAATGCCAAGAAGATAAGTCTCGGTGAATTTAAGTGCCCCCGAGGAGGATTCCGTGCAGGACAAGACTGGGAGAGAGAACACACGGCACGGGAGCAGCCAGCGTGAAAGGAGCCTCTCTCTCTCTGGGCGTGGTCCTTTCTCTCCTCTTTTCCGCTCTGTCCTTTTCGAGCCTGAAAAACTTGATGCTTTCTTGCGTCTGGGGGAATCTCTGGGCAAGAGAGAGAGAGAGAGGGCGAGGGAAGATGAACCTGATAGAGGAGGCGAGAGGCCATTTTTGAAACTATACCCGCGTGACGGCGGTGCAGGCATCTTGTTCGTTTCGTATACATGGGTACCGGAGTGGCCTGCATGGGCGTTGTTTTTTTTTTCCTTTTTTTTTTCTCGGAGGAGAATCCCCCGAAGATTTGAGATGCAATATGAGCGGCTCTGGTGCACAGAAAATGCGGCCGTGGCTTCCTATAGCACGCTCATAATTTTCGTCGCTGTTATTGGTACGAGAATTTTTTTTTCCTCTCTTTTCTTTTCACAGTCACGAGTTTTATTTCATGCCGAAACAAATTGCTACTAGCCTTGGATTTTTGGGGACGAGGAATTTCGTCTTTCGTGTGTTTGTTTTAAGAATAAAATTTAAAAAAAAATGACACGTCCAACTGTATCGTTGCAAGGCTAAATTGCTATTGGTAATTGTACTTGAATTTAGGTACCTCTAGGAAACAACAGCGACCAACAGAAAAGGGAAAAAGCCAAATGGATCAAATGATTGTCTATTGCACAATAATGATTCGTACCTCAGTCAAACGATCGCAGTAGAATAACCAAATTGCTGGTAACACGCAACTACGAGAAGGCCACTCGAGGCTGAGGTACACCCATACTCTTGAAACCGAGCGCGCTTGCACAAATGGACGGATGAGTTGTCGTCATCGACACATCCGAATGACTTGTGCGAGCTGATGGTGGTACATTGTGATCGGGTGACGAGCTAATTATACCCCTGGGCCGGTGCCTACACAGAGGGGGAAGAAAGAAATCTGTGTGATCATCTTTCCCAGCTGGATGGCCAAAATGCCCATTCACGGAAGCTCGCGTGCTCCACTGATACATATAACCTACATGCTGGAAAAATTCGCGCTGGACCAACGCAATCGTCCAGAATAGAAACGATGACGACAACTTCACCCCACCCCCCTTTTCTAGACCGGCGCTCTCTTTTTATAAATATTCCACTTTCCGGCCTAATGTCTCGCGCGATGGGTACTTTGTATTTTCGGAGCCGGCATTTGTTACGTGAAATTTATCGTTCCACGGTGCGACACTACTTTTTTTCCCGTACATTATAAGCGCTCGTGTGTGCGTCTGCCGATTTGCTTTGATCATCCAGATCTTCTCGCACAATGGTCTTGGGCGAAACAAAAAAATATGGATACGTGTAAACACGCGAAACAAAAAAACGTTCGCGCGGTGGTGAATTATCGGCGGTTTCGAGAGCGTGAGTAACGCGGACTATAAATTAACGCTGATCCGGCGTTTACTGTGTGATCAATGGTATACCAGAGTTTTTTTTTTTTTTTTTTTTTTCATATAAATTTTAGAACGGGAAAGGTTTTTTTCTATACTCACGCGCCAAAGTCAACAAAACTATTTCTTACGTCGAAAAACGAGAGAAAAAAAAACTCCACTGCCGCGGGGAGAGGAGGAAAAGAGAGAGAGAGAGAGAGAGCAAGGTGTGCGTTTGGTCCGATTCAGAGCACCCACACCCGCATCAGCGTCGACCTTTTTGAGTATAACCATTGTGCCATACACAGAGGATCATCGCACACCTGGCCCCTCCGCTGACACCGACTCCTCCTCCTTCCCCCAACTGCAATGCGTTACGTATACACGTATACTACCTAACCTCGGGGCCCAAGGTGGTTGTTGTTGTAGCGAGCAAAACTTTGGCAAAAACAAATCGAGAGCGGGTGAGCAGCTGCCATCGCATTTACCTTTTCCCGCGTACTTTTCCACCTTTCGGGGGTATATGCGGGCCGATGCTGTGTAGCAGGGCGCACCTGTTGGTCGTCGCGGAGAGCAGCTGAGTCGCGTGCTCCTGACGTTGCGCACACGTCGCGTAATGACAGGGCCCAGGGACACACACACACACAGACGCGTAATTTTCGAGTTCGAGTCAAAGAGGGGGAGGAGGAGGAGGAACAAAAGGGGGACCACACAATGCGCAGATTTCGTGCGAGGACTCTCCTTCCGCCGAGGGTCGCTTTTCCGACGTGAGTAATCGATTCTTCGGACCGAGTTTTTTCGGGGACTCTCGACTCTATGGGGCAATTACGCGCGTTTCGCCGTCCCCCATTTCCAATGGGACACGGCAGTGTAATTATGCGCGTCCGAACTTGCACCACAGAGCTGCTTAATGCGCCCTGCGTTACTCTCTTGTTTATGGCATCAGCTGCCGGACGAGAGATCATCGAAAAAGTTGGGAAGCTTTGGTGAACTTGCTGTGTTTTTTTGGGGAGGGGAAGAATATGAAGCTGAATGAAAGGAAAAAATAATATGTTGACACGAGAGTTACCGGGGAGATGATGACGCGAGCGATAGGACGCAAACGAGGAGATGAGCAGGTAAGTGGCAAAATTGCGGACGGGACACGGGCGTTGGATGACTCCAACGATCGCCAAAGTATCGACTCGTAAATCACCCTGTACATGCGGCGTAAAAGTGCAACACTGACGCTGTAGAGCTCGTTTCCTCCCCCCTTTTTCCCTTCTTAACTACGATTGTCGTCCGAATGTGTATATATATATAAATATCTCAAATGCGAACTTTCTGCCGTTTGTCCGCCTCGGACGGGACGTTGCGTGTTTTTCTTGGCCGTGCTGCCGCGCCAAACATCTGTTCCTTGGGATGCAAATGGATTCCTTCCTTTTCTGTTTTCCTGCCTTTCCGAGATTCGGACGGACACAGGGGGGAGCTTTCCCGGGATTTTGGGGAGGGAAATTTTCTTTTGGGCCATCGCAACTGTTGCCCTTTTATCCTTCAAAACCGAGCACCCACACGTTACTTTCAAACAACGTCGATTGACTCCAAATTAGTGCCAATGGTCAATAGAGGGATATGATATAAAACTATACATTATTTATTTTTAATTCTATGAAAGTATCGCGTGTCAAACTATGTCTGCAGGTGCACTCGTTTTAAACTCGTTGTTCGAGCAAACACCCGAGGCCCAGAGTTGGCACGTTTTCCAGCGTCGGCAGGTAAAAATTCGAGCCTACCTATACACGGATGCCTCGAGAGGAGACGAGCCGTCAACGTATTGCAAGCGGAGTCTCGGCTGACGTTGTTCCGAGAAGAAGACGAGAGATAAGGCATAAGTCTCTTATCTCCCCCTCCCTCCTTTTTTCCCGCCCTCGCGGCTGCTTTCGGGCCATTTTTGTCTCGAGAGTGACTCTCGAGGATTTATGCGGCGTGCCGTGCTAACGGCGCCTCGACCAACGCCCCGATGGTGTCCACTGCAAAGGGGTTTACACGAGAGGGGAGGGAGGGACGCCGAAACCGACCAGGTTGCTTTTTTTTTTTTTTTTTTTGCTCCGTCCCCTGCTCTGGGGGTCCACTCACCACGACAGAGGATTCCGGCTCTCTAATTGCCGGGATATTTGTTTCTTGATTGGGGCACCGATGATCGACGTGCAGGATACATTTTTGCGCGCGAAATGTTCGAGAGATTGATGAATAGTACCTTGGGTAGGTACATGATTATCGAGTCGTTTTAGGAACTTCTAGTTGAGGCACCGGCGAATATGATTCTTTTAACCAGCCAGAAGCCGAAGTGGAAAAAAAAGAGGCCTCGGGCTGTAATTTTCGGTTGTTGCGGGAGGGAAGAAAGGAGTTACAAAGGCAAAGAACCTTTGGATGAGAAAAAAAAGGATCGATGAAAGTCGTGGGAGGGACCCCCGGGGGTGCTGGATATGCCCTTGATTGGGGGAATCGGAAACTTTCCAGACAATGGACGCCCGCGATAAAGCTCGACGGAATTATAACGAGGACTGAACTTTTTTTTTTTCCTTACAAGGAGTTTTACAAGTGACCTGAAAATCAAAGCTCTACCGTGATGGTAGGGATAGGTGTGGTGATTTAGTTGGGATAAAAGTATACACGAGGTGTAGGAATGAATCGAGTACGAAGTAAAACGCGACCCAATTAGTCCAGATCGGTGCACATACGTACACATAATTACGCGGAGGAGGAGGAGGAGATATGGTGTGTATAGTTGGGCTGCTCACCTGATGACTTTTCGCCTGTTGTTGGGGTGGACGCGCAGCGCCATGTCCGGATCGACTTGCATCAATTTTTTGTGCAGCTCCTCGTTACTCGAGCCGTCGATTCGTCGAACTTTGATCAGCGATTCGTCGAGTCCGCTGTCCTCGTCGTCACCGCCTGCTCGTTTTGGATTGTCGACGAGCGTCTGCCAGATCAACGACTCGATGTAGTAGTTGGTGCCACCCACAATGATCGGCGTCTTTTTACTTTTTATCATACTGTCCATCTGTATGTGTCAAGGATAATAACAGGCCATTTACCTCCCATTGACCCCGTAATAAGCATTTTCGAAATACGTCCTTTGTGATTCTTTATAAATAAATGCGCCCACACGTTATATGTATATAATATACCGTCTTACAGTAAAAATAAAAAATAATGATATAATGATGAATAACAACTGGCCCCATTAATCGTCACAGATGGACGTCAATGAAAGTAAAAAGGATACGATCGAGAGGGCTTTGTTCCTAAAGTCGACCACCGTGTACTCTTTGAGGGGGTCGTTTATGTCGATCATGTGGTGCACCGCTTGGGCCTGCTCCTCCTTCGTCACCTTCGCCGTCACGATATCCAAGCCCTTGTACACCTGCAAATACAAATTATTTTAAATGTACACGAACACTTTATTTCCACCCAGCACCGTACGGGGGAACACATAAGTGCTGCAATTTTTAGTGATTGATTTGCCTCCCTGTGGGGATTTTCAAAGTGAAATCGTACAAACTGTTGTGGGAATACGCCGCCAAGTGCCCCAAATACTTTATTCTTGGTACAAGATATCGAAAAAGGAAGAAATACAATCGAGGAACCGAATCGAGGCGTATATCAGAGGTTCGTGCGCCTCCCAAAGGAAAAAAATTTGTTTTAAACAGGAAAAAAAAAAAAAAAAAAAGACGAAAAGGAGAGAGATCAGGGAAATCTCAAATGCCATCTCTCAACGATATACAGCTCGAGCGCTTAGCCCTTCGGCTCCTCCTCTCTCTCGCACACACCAGCCAACGTAATATTATAAACGGCATTCCTCGGCCGGTCGTCGTCATCTCGGCAGGTGACTTGACGTCCTCTTCTCCTTCTCCCCTCCCCATCCCCATACATATACATGCATATATGTGAGCGCCCACCGCGATCCTCGCAGGTGGCTCTTGGTATATAGGTATACTCTTTAATTCGCCGCAGTATCTTACTCGCGACAGTTCCGCGCACTCCTTGATTATCAGGAAAAAAGAAAAAATTAAACCAGCTCTGAAGCTCCTTGGGAAGGAAAATAAGCTTTGTTTCACACCAATTTCGTTGTACGTAGGGTCAAACGCGCTTTTACCTTCCCGTCCAGTTTTGATGATTATTATTATTTACTGTTCGCACGAAGCGAGGGAGGCACACGTGGACGTGTACACGTGAGAAAAATGTGGATCAGCCGTACACGTACGAAACATACGAGCTCTTGGTTGATGTATATCTGATGTGAAAAAAGGACAAGACAAAAAAAATGACTAGAAGGTGCTAAAAACTTGGCGTTTGGAAAAAAAGAAAAGCACAACAGCCAGAAAAATGCTCGATAAGGCCAAACAGCGGACAGAAACCGAGCTCCCGACCACAATACGATGTTAGACCTGTAAGAAAGAGAAAGCCGTACATGCGAAAATCCGTTGCGTTCCAGCATACAGTGGTCGCGGCGCAGACTCTGTTGTCTAATGTATATACACGCATATTTATATATATATATTTAGTGGGTATGCATATAGGTATACAGGCTCGTGAAAACAGGTTTTAAAGTCGAGATATAACCAGAGAGGGGGAGAGAAAGAAAAGAGATAAAGAGAAGGAAATGACGTAGACGCGACTAGGGTTATTGGTGAGCCGAGGAGGAAGGAGAGGAGGCGAGTGAAGCTTGAATGGCCAACATCAGCAGCAGCAGACCCCTATGTGTATATGCAATGGCGTTCCGGCTCCATTCACCGTGGAAATATACCTACTATACTCCGCAGAGAGAGAGAAGCCCACTTTTCTACCCCACCCCCCCTTGTGTTTCCACACTGCATAATATAACGTATATCTGCTGCCTTAGTGCCCCTATATACATACATACGTATGCGTATATAGCTACCCGCATGCAGAGATCGGCCGGAAGTAGGTACAGCTAAATAAATCCCGGCAGCTAATCGCCGGCCGATCTCTCTGTTTCCCCCCGATTTGGCAACGAGGATCATGGGTATCGGAGTACCGACTATACACACACGTACGTACTTCATTAAAACCTGACCGCATTTATATATTTATAATCAAAGTTGTATGCCGATTTTGTTTCATCTGGGAGAAGCTGAGCCGGTCTTGGAGATTAAATTCGAGGGAAACAAGTCGCTTCGTACTTTTTGATCGGCCGAGCAGTGCTACTTTCATTACTAAGATATTTAAGTGGGATTTTCTGAGAAAAAAAGGAGCCGATCTACCGATTAGGGATGATTTAAACCCCGAATTTGGAAAATCGGTAATTACGATCGCCCACTGATGAATAGTTTTGAAGATCGATATAATAATGATATCTAATGAGGTATTTCTTCGAGGCTGCATTGAGGACGCGTAATAATACGGTACGAGCTTTGTATGTATATGCTACATGGGCGTGGGTCAGCAGTTGAAAGAGAAAAAACTAGTAGAAAACGTCAAGAGATGTACGAAAAACCCTTTCCACACACGAGGCGCATAATATACACGGTTCGTTTGGTCTATCACTCGAGAGGAGATGGCTAATCGGCCGTGAGCTCGCTCCTTTCCTCCCGTAACATATCCACTATAGTTTGTCCCTTTGATCCGGATCACCAAGTCCTGGATGTAATGCACTTTGATGGCAAAACCACACCCGATGGGGTTCAAGATCAGCGAGCTCGAGATGTTTGACCAAACATGCGCTTCCAGCTTTTTACATAACAGAGGAGTGAAAAAAAAAGAGGGAGAGCTTGCAAAAAGAGACCCATTCAGTGGTCGGCGTGACTGTACAGCACGCGCATCAGTCAACAACCTTTGCTCTCACGAATTTACGCGCGTCGAGCGCGGGGAACGGCAAAAATAGTGAGAAATTTTGAGGGTGGGGGGGAGGCAACGTCCTTGAGAAGCAAAAAAAAAAAAAAAAAAAAAAAGAAAAATTGAGTTTTTTAATCTACCAATTTCCGCTACGACTTTACGCGCTTTCATTCAACCTCCATTTTTTA